ATATAACAATTTAAAAAAAATTTTGAACAACATGTAATAGGAAATTTCCAAAAAAATTTAAATAAAGTCAATCGAATCTACTATTAAAACCAAGGAACAAGTGTTACGACTAGGTAACCTAATTCAGCCTCGTCTCACCGAACTATTACGTATCCTGCAACATAAAGCGTCGAATTTTCCAGAAAGTAGTGAAAATAATTTTTTAAATTCAACAAAAATTACCACTAAATTCTCCAAAAGTAATTTTTAATAATTGCATAAACTTCAAGTTAACACGAAAAACTTCAGAAATATTTAACGATCAATTTGCAAATTTAATAGATAGAATTCATTCCAACCTCAACGCTAAAAAAGAAAACGATCGAGTCTTCCTCGTTAATTAACAAGTCAGCAGAAACCTGACTCGATCACGATCTGAATAATGAGGAGAGATCTCGACTCGCCGGTAAAAAAAAAAAAAGAAAACGAGACGGGCAAAAAAGCGAAAAATATTTCACACGTAGTACTACCATGTAAGAAGGTACGCGATCGATGAACGCCTGCAGCTCAGGATTCCCCGAATGTCGTCCGACCAATCTTCTTCCCTCTCCGTTCAGCACCAGAGCTGCCAATTGCTCCATATTCCCAGTCTCCAGCATCTTCTCGATCTCCGGATCCGCCGTCATGCTTGCCTCGTTCAGCTCTGCCTCTGGAAGTTCCTCGTGTTCCCCGACGATCACCTGCTAATCATGCCCAGGTGCAAAACCATGCGCACGTACGCTACGTGCCGATCGATACGGGGAAAATATTAATCGCACGTGACAATCTAGACACCGTAAAATCGATCGTTCTCTACTCCTTGCGTGTGTGTATGTATCGTGTCCGTGTGATACGCCCGATCGAACGATATTGTTTCGTCCACGGTTCACAGGTGTCTTTAGTGTTATTTCATTTGGATAATTGACCGGTAATTGGATGACTTTCTGCTGTTTCGATAGGTTTTTTTTTGGATGGAGTAGTTGCTTGGTGTATTATGTGGAAATTTTATTAAACGATGGTAGTATTATGCTGATGTGTTATCGATTTGGGTGGAAATGAAAGAAGAAGTAATACAATTAGATAGCACTCCGACGTCTTGTGAAGGTCTTGAGAACGTCGAAAGAGATATCCAGAGGACGTCTGAACGACTATGTCTTTGAAAGGATTTAAAAATGTCTTAACGACGTAACTTTTGTATATTGCTGAAACGTATTGATTCGTACGTTTTCAAGTCGTTCTAACCAATAATGGACAAAAAATGGACATTTCTAAGACGTGTGCTATCTGGGTACATAAAGGACGAAAATGTTTAGTATTTAGAAGAGGATATGTAACGTATTAGAAATTGTTGTCGTATAAAATGTCCCATGATTTTATTCGCGTAATTGAACACTATTACGACAGACACTTGTTCCATAAAAAAAAAAAAGAAAGTAGAAATATCACGTGCAACAAGATGTACACATATTTATACTGCTCTAGCAAATAAAAGTTGACATAGAACTGAAATATACTTCATGCGTGTTGTCTGGGTCTGTTGTGTGCAGAAGTTACATAACATAAGTTCTTTGCTTAGTTATTTATTTATTGTAATATATTTGTGCGTGACAAAGAACATACTGTATAACATCTCGATTATCGATCGTTTCTTACGTTCAGTACACATGATACCAGGTGTAGAAATTCATTCCGGTGTCTTTACATTAAATATACAAGTTCATCTGAAATTTCAAATCTTCCGCCATTTCGAAATTTCCAGGTACCAACTTTAACACTTACGAAACGTTGTACAACTTGGCAAAACGTACGACATAACCTAAAAAACGAACATTAACAAACACAACGACGTCGAGAAAAGGCACCTAATTAATTTCTACACCTAATAAACACCCTATCGCTTACAATCGCAAGCACAAGTTTGCTCGTTCTATCCGTAGGCAAAATATCTGGCTATAAACGAGTGAATAATCGAAACCTAGTATCTATCATGCGTTTCTACACCTTACATCTCCTATTCTCTCACTTATATACCTTCACTAAGGTCGCATTATTATAACATTGCTTATTTCGTAATCTTACTTTCTCACTTCAACTATCTATAATAAGTCTCGTTGTAAATAGAAGATTATAGTTTTGTGCTAAGAAACTCCTGAAAAAAATTCGATTCGTCTAAGTGTTTATGATGACTGTACCTGATCTTCGTCGTTTCCTGGATCGTCGACACCAGAATCGCCTGTGCTTGGCTCGTTTCTCTCCTCTTGCTCCACTTTATTCTCCTCCTCGTGATGTTCAGCGGCTTCCTTCTCTTCCGTTGTTTCCTCCGTGTGTTCAGCTTCTTTTTTACCTTCTTCTTCTCCTTCGTTCTCTTCTTCTTCTGGTTTATTCTCACCTTCTTCTTCCTCCGGTTTCTCTTCTTCGTCTTCCGTCTCAGATTTAGGATGTTCTTCAGCTTCTCGAGCCTCTGTACCTGTTACCACGTCATCATCCGAGGTCCTTTCCTCTGTTTCTTCAGGTTCTGCTTCGTGAGCAGTCTCTTCTTCCTTGTCCTCAGCACTTTCTGCTTCTTTCGAGTCTTCCGGATTCTCTGCGCTCTCTGCATGCTCTGTGTTCTCAGTGTCCTCTTTGTTTGTGTTTTTAGCATCTTCTGTGGTTTCGGTATTTTCTGCATTTTCTGCGGTTTCTTCTTGGTCCTTGTGGTGATCTTCTTCGACATTCTTTATCTATTTCATTAAATCGTTCGTTAATCTTATTTTTTTAATTCTGCATTTCTAGCAGATGAGTTTTTTAAAAAGCTTTCTTTCAACAATTTTGCAAGATTGGAGAATAGATTTTTGTACCTGTTCCATGGATCTACTGAAATTCTTCGTCGTTGATTCTGCGCTGCCAAATGCACTATCTATATCTGCGCTGCTAACTTTCTTCATTCCTCTCGATATGGATTCTTCGGCTTCAAGAATCCTCCAGTCCCAGTGCTTGGGATACGCGGTTCCAGAAACTCGAGGCGCTTCCGGTATCACCGTCAGCAGCGACTGATCTATGTCTGACGGTCGATTTTTGTAGAAAGCTGGGGCTTTTTGTCTCTGATCGAAAAATTTCAGAGATCAATTTATTTTCACGTAAATGGTGTTCGGTATTGCCTTGATAAGGAAGAATAAGAAAATCTTCTTTTCTGAAGACAACCTTTCTTTATTTTAATTCATAATTTCTTCTTTATTCTTCTTAATTCTTTATAGGATATAATTTTTCATATAGGAAAAATTATGAAATTCAAGAAATTGTCAACGATGAATCTTGAATTGAAAAATTATTCTAATTGGTGATTTTCTTTTTTGTATGATTTATTATAAATTTGTTTCTATATATTGTTAACAAATTATTCTAATTGGTGTTTTTCAGTTTTGTATGATTTATTATAAATTTGTTCTAATTTATGGAAAACTCACGTGATCTAATTTACTTTCGTCAGCTCCATACTCTGTTAACAAATTATACAAAACTCCATCGTCCTTCGCTGCAGCTGCATAATGCAATGGTGTCTTTCCATCGTTATCTTGTGCTTCCACGACAGACGAATGTCTCTCGAGGATTTCTCGTACAATTTCCGTGAATCCCAGTCCAGCAGCCTTTTTTAATTATCGAAAGTATTTAAAAGGAAAAAGGTGAAAGAACGTAGCAAATAATGAAATTATTAAATGTACCTTGTGCAGTACATTTAAACCATTACTGTCTTTGCCACGGAGAACTATGGGCGAAGTAGCGTCAACTTTACTTCTGAGTCCTTCTAAATCATTGTTTATCGTAGTTGTGTGAATATCTTTTACGGTACCCTTTGAAAAAAAAAGAAGCAGAATTAAAAGAATTAATTTTTAAAGCAAGCAAATAAAAATTGAGATTTGTAATTTTTATTTTATTTATTACAATGAAAAATTAATTTTCAGAATAAGCAAAGAAAAATATTTTCACTATATTGGTGAAGACTTATAATTTTTGTTTTACTTATTACAACGAAGAATTAATTTTTAAAATAACCACAGAAAAAGATATTTTAACTATATTAATGGAGAGATATGTAATTTTTATTTTGAAGCCTTATTTAGAAAATATTTCGAATAATTTTAATATTAAAACAAACCATTATGAAAGTCACAGCTTCCAAAAATTTTTTTACACGAGGATTGTTGCTGGTTTCCATTCGCAACTTGTTCCCATGGCCTTCCCATAGAACCTGTTGTAATTTCCCAATGTCTCGATTGTGAATCCATATTCTTATATTGGAAGGTTTGAAATCTAAGCCTGAAAAAGGATTGATTTTCCGTCAATATTAAAAATAATTAAAATCGTTTACACTTAAGCAATGTCTTCTTTCTGTCAACTTTCTTTCCCTCCAGTTTTCCATTGAAATGAACATTTCACCTATCGTGACTTCGAGCAATTTCATCAAAGAAAATGCTTGAGCAGCTTTCATGTCTACCTTTTAATTCGATTAGAATAGTCAATTTGTTCGTGAAACGTGGAGAAAAAGTATGCAAAAGTACATATTGAAATCGTACATGAGTTTTTGTAAAATACAAATCATAATGATGTAACATGTTTTCTCTGAGGCACGAATAGCTTCGTTAAAAATTCACGATCTGCAAGATTTGTAACTACACATCGCGTGTTGAAGCATAGTGATAAATATTTTAGGCACTCGTGAAACCCCCTGACCATTAAATATCGATCTTTTACTCGATATCGTCATCTTTCAGTTTTGCTGAAATAATGATGAAATAAAACATAGCAATCATTCAGAATATTTCCCGTGCTTCCTGCATAATATCTCCTCATATTGCTTTAAATACGCTGAATGATGAATTTCGGATTGCATAAAATTAGTACAATTTAAGGAAATCACCGTCAATGATGCAACTAGATAAATGTCTTATAACAAACATCTTAGTAGTATCAATGAGTCACTGATTTTTACATAACTTCACCGAGATGTTGAAATCGAGTGAATTAAACGATTAAATTTCTCGTTCAACGTGCTCGATGAGACTTACGTCGATTATGGGTTGTAAACTCCAGAAAACAATTTCTGGAGCTAAAAAGGAAATTTTTATATACTTGTACTAACTTTAGAAAGTTCAAAGTAGAGTCAAAAGTGTTTATGAAATTTTTGAACTTTAGTTTTTATCATATAATTTATGTAGGCTGTCGATAATTTGTATAAACAAAATAAGAAAATAACTCGTACCTAAGTTAGAAATAATAATGAATTATGAATTTGATAAATTAAAAAATTTAAAGAGTTACGAAAGTCATATAAAAAATATTTGAGAAATTTACTTGAAGTTTTCGTACAACTTCTACTGTTGCACAATATTATTCAATTCCTTCAATTTCTGAAGTTCCGGACATTTTGGGTATTATTGAATATTTCTGTGTTTTGAGTATTATTCAATTCATAAATTTGAATCTTCGAGTATCCTTGAATATTTCAATTCCTGAATTCCAATTCTAAAGGTTCAAATACTTTGAGTATTCCTGAATATTTCAATTCCTGAATTTTAATTCTCAAATTTCGAATACTTTGAGTATTCTTGAGTATTTCAATTCTTGAATTCCAATACTGAAATTTCGAATACTTTGAGTATTCCTGAATATTTCAAATCCTGAATGACAATTCTCAAATTTCGAATTGTTTGAGTATTCTTAAATTCCAATATCTAAATTTCGAATGCTTTGAGTACTCCTGAATACTTAAATTTCCAAAAGGCCCATAAAATTAGTGAATTAAAAATGCAACTAATTTTCAAACTTGCATGTACTCACGTCACAAGTTTAATTTATATTATAATAACCATGCACGTGGAATGTAACATTTTATTTCGACATATAGATTGCGTGTTGCAATGGTGGATTAATAAATTTTTGAAAAGCCAACCGAGTGCACGGACCTCGTCATTTACTGACACGTTTACATCGTACGAACACCGTCTGCTTTCTTGGTAAATAGATCAATCAATGTAGGCGGAAATGCCTGTGTATATTGTATGCATTGCACGTTCAGCTTATGTAAGCCGCTACGTAAAATATCATACGTTTATAATAGGTTAATGCAACACCGAGGTCTGCCAATTTAATGATAATTCCAATGTCAGTTTCAATAATTTAATGGCACTCCTGCTTACCGTTCTGTATGAAACGAGTATGCTTCATTCGTCAATTACTTGTTTAAAAAACTTTCGTTTGGACTCAGGTGTATTTAGATTACAGATTACAAGTATGAAAACTTTTCCATTGATTGAGCTTATGTTCGATTAGAATAGTGAAATATTTTGAACAATTTAAAGAGCTAAGAGTATTCTATAATACTTCAATTCTTGAATTTCAATACTGAACTTTCGAATACTTTGAATATTCTTGAATATTTCAATTTCTGAATTCCAATTCTGTACTTTTAAATACTTTGAGTATTTTCAAATATTTCAATTCCTGAATTCTAATATTGAAATTTCGAATACTCTTGAATATTTCAATTCCTCAATTTCAATTCTGAAATTTCAAATATTTTTAGTATTCTTGAATACTTCAATTCCTGAATTCCAATATTGAAATTTTGAATACTTCGAATACTCTTGAATATTTCAATTCCTAAATTTCAATTCTGAAATTTCAAATATTTTTAGTATTCTTGAATATTGAAAAAAATTTTGACATTAAATAACCACCTCAAAGTTAAACTCCGAAAATCTCATAATTTATTCTTACGAAATGGAATACAATTGTTACGTTACGATGCCAAGAAGTCCACATTGATTTACCGCGGAAATTTACTATCAACTTCGTCAAACTGTTACTCACATTTTCTACGAACAGTTTACCATGCAGTTTCAATTGGCAAACGGAGGAATGTTACAAGAATTTTTTTCTGGAAACTGGCTTGGTCGTCGATCTTCAATGGGAATGTTTATGACACGCGATAGTGACAGCATAATTTTCTTCCCAACATCTTACTATACCTACTGTATGATAAACCTGTCTTACGTAAAAAATCGATCACGACGTAATTGTTAATTTTTCACTGATCATTGTTATTTCATTGTTTTCTTGTTGTCATCGAATTAAAAGGGAATGCTATAACATCGTTATAATGTCAATAGAAGTTCTGCGAATTATAGTTTTTGACGATTCCTAAATAATTCGTTTGACAATCGATCGGTGCTTGTCAGTCTATCGATCGTCACAGCTTTCCTTTGCCTTATAAATTTAAGTTCTATCGATTACTTCGGGTCATTACCGAGAAAATTTCTATAGGGTATAAGTCAAGGAATCTATAGTCATCGAAGGTGAGAAATCAACGATGTGAATCCCAAGGTTGCCACTGACCGTTTGTCCAGCTGTTCGATCGATTTATTTAACAAGTTTCTAACTGTGTACTCGAAACGTAGGAAATATAAGATGAATAAAAATAGAGTAACTTTTATGAACGTTATTATACATACATTTTGTAATTCTATTATTCTATTCTCTACAGAAGCAGAAGTAAAATGTAAAAAATATTATAAAAATATAAAACAATTTTTAATTTCAATTTAAACAATTGTAAAGGCATATAAGATGCAAATTTTGCTCGAAAATGAAATTAGGTGTGATCTGATATACTTTCTGTCTAAAGAGAATTTGGAGAAATAGAAAATTTTGATAGTGACCATTTATTGTGAAAATAATTATCATAAATGTTCATATTTCTTTGTATTCGTATATTTTTCTTTTTCTACTAATTTACCTGACATTTTTCATCGGACTAAATAAATATAAGTTTTGATTTTAATAATAATTAGTTCAAGTATGCAGAAGAATTTGTGCAGATACTTGATCAAAGTCACTCACTTTCCTTGCTAGTGCTGGTCTTCCGGCGAGACATGCTCTCTGCTTCCGGTAACTCTAATTCTGAGCTATGTTTCAGATAGTAAGCAGCAGGATTGCCCTTTTTATCGCAGATACTCGCGTCGCAGTCGTTTTTTATGAGAACATCCCAAATTGCATCGGGATCCTTGCAAGCAGCGCAGTAATGCAACGCTGTTCTACCTTCCTAAATGTGAAAAACACTTCGATTACAATTTAACAATTACATAAAATCCAAAAGAATTCCAAAAAGAAAAAAAAAATCATCGACGCAAATCTACAAATTTAAAAGCTATTCCATTTAGTTCCCTTCATTCCAATACTAATCAAATCATTTATCAACACTCAAACAAAATTAAAACGAACATAATTCTTTATTAATTAATTAAAAAAAGAAAATTGGAAAACAGGGAGAGAACAAAATTCACATAAAAATAAGTTCTTCCTAAGTTAAATAATTTATGAGAATTTTTATGATTCACATCTCTATTTTCAATTCTACCACGAAACTACCGTAAACACATCGATTGAGAACGTTAGAACTGTTTGAAAAAACAAACGAACTTAAACCGGTCGTTGAAAAATTTCTATTCTGAAAATAATTTCACCAAGCACAGTCGTTCTCGGCAATGACAAGCGTGACAACCATTAGGGAATGAATATTCCAGTGGAACGGCGATGTAAAACGCGAAGTCGCCGACAGGTAAATGGCGAATATAAGGGTTGAGTCGTGATCAAGGGTGGAAAAGGGGTGAAACGGTGGCGTTTGCCATATTACAGGCGCTGCGTGCGCCTGGACACGAAACCGGATGACTGCAGGGAAGAACAGGTGGTTTACACTTTGTTATTAGCCGCGTCACGTGATGCGGGAAAGACGATCGCCGTTACGAAAAATGGCTTTTCGATTATTCAGTAGTCGAATATATCCAGCGGGAAGTGTAAACAGCATCGTCACGACACGATCAACACGTCTGAACGATCTTGCAAATGGGGGGAAAAAAGAAATCATTGTTTAACCTGTCAAATCATCGTGATTCTTCCAGTGGATAATTGATATTACGCTTACAAGTACTTGGAAAGATCGTTGTTTTCTTGTACCATTTTCTTTAGAATTTTTTAGATTAATTGCCTCGATTGTTCTAACCAGGACTGTATTTTTACATAGTTACCGGGGGGGAAAAGGTATGAGCACAATATTGTGACTTTTTATAATTATTTCTTTCTTTCTTTTGTGCTTGCGATAAAAATGAAGTTGACTAAAATGTCGTGGGTTAATCAACGGAGATTGTTATCTTTGGTAGACGATTGTAACCTGCGCTTTATGTTTCAAGCGTTTTCACCCTTTCACCTTTCACACGAAATCTTTTCATTTACGCTTCGATTCGTCTGGTGGAATAGAAAGATAAGCGGTTGAATAGATTGTGAATAAATATGTTATTCATGAGTTTCAATTTGTGAGGTTATTTCTTTGAATCTCTCGAACGAAGAATTTTTATTTATAGTCGAGGTTGAAAAATGTTGAGAATTCAGTTTAACGTGCACCTGCTATTACTGATAAGAAAGAGAAATCGTGTAAATTAATAAAAAACAATAATAAATTATATAGAACAGGTAAACATATACTTAAATATTGAAAAAAGCTGAATGATAAAAATTACTCTATCTTTCTGTTGAACGGTAATAGGATAATTTTGCACGAGCCATTCGACAATGTCCTGTTGATCGTGGCAAACTGCTTTATGGAGCAAAGGAGTTCCAGCTGGATCTTTCGCTATAGCCAACTTCTTTTTAGGTGCCTCTGATATGTATTTCTGTGTTTCCGCTAAAGAACCACGTGAAACCGCGTCGTGCACTTGAGAGATTTTTGTCTGGTTATTAAAAGAAAACGAAACACTTATTTTCTTTTTTTTTTCATAAATAAAGGTGGTATAATCCTAATAGAAATGAATCTACATGAAAAAATAAGGCGAAAATGTGAAGTAACATTTTTTCATACGGAGCCTCATTTCCAAAAAAATCAACGTTGAAGATTCGTGGAGTGGGTGCACTCGAAACTCCACAGAAACCTTTTCTCATCCATCGATTTTTTCAAAAACGAAGTTTCGTATGAAAAAATGTTACTTCACATTTTCGCCTTATTTTTTCATGTAGATTCATTTTGTGTTATAGAACAAAGTAGTGTACCAAATAGTTTGGGAGTCCTTTTAGGAAGACTCTAGTTCTGAGATCCGGAGAATGTTCACCTAACAGACGTGCTCCACGTCCTTCCAGAACAACATGCTCTAATTTCTCGAGATCACCTCGTTGCAGCCAAGATTTTATTGTTGTCGGGTTCATCTGCGCCTGAAAATGCACATAGTAAATGAAGTTTTATGAAACTTGAAGCACTCCAGTGTGACACTGAAAAATTCAATTTCCTTTTTTTCGCATTTTTCGAATTTATACGTTGCATTTTGTATGTTTGCATTAATTTTTCATGTGGAAGGATATTAGTTCAATCCAGTACACGGTCAGGGAATCACGATTCTTAAAACACCCGCTATTGATTATCCATCAGGCTTATCGAATCCAGACCGCGTGCGTCTAAGTTCATATTGATGCGCAGATTATTCGACATAATACGATTCGTCCATAAAATCGTAGCCTGTGAAAGCTTTCTATGATATTTCTAACAATAGAAGAAGTGATCTTTCTTCTTAGTAAAGTAATTAAAAATTATAGGAATATTAATTTTATTACAAATTGATTCATTGACAAATTTCATTACAGGAATTTTGTGTATTTTTAGAAATTGGCTATTTGGTAATGCAATTTTTACTTTGCTCCTATTTAAAATTCCTAATGACCACATTGAAAGTGCACAACTCCTGTGAAAAATGTATTTATAAGTTGGTCATTAAGGAAAACCAATAACTTCCTCTTCCTCCATTTCAGGAAACTCTTTACATCTACCTATATTTGAATATTCCATCGTTGCATTCCATTATTTAATTTGAAAACCATTCATTGTCAACATAGTCTTCACTTCCTTTCAGTCTTAAAATTTGCTCAAATCTTTACATTTTAATCTGTTACTATCACACACTCAAATTGCATATTCTGCATAAATTATATTAATTGAAAATTTTTTCTTTCCAAAAAATAAATCTAACAAAGCCACAAAGTATCACTAATAATAAGTATGTCATTTCAAATCAAAAATATCTGCAAAAAAATGGTACAGTCGACCTATACCACTGTCATGCTCGAGCAATCAAATTAACACTTCGTCTGCTCGATCAATTTCGAGCGTGAGCGACGCGAGAACCTAAATTGCAAAACGGTGTCAGAATAAAAAGAAACGTAAAAAACAGCACGAAAGAGAAACGGTATTTACTTTTACCACGTTCAATCAAGTCAAAAAAGTCGTGATTACGCTTTTCCTGTTGCTAAAGCGAACGGTGAATCCCCCGGTTTGTGGGTCGCGTGTGAAGCCAAATGTAACACAAATATACCGCGTGTGACGGTATTACAGCGAATTGCGCGGTTCAATTTGCGCCGTGAAATTCGTGTGGAAACGGGCAAATGGAAAATTTTCGTCGAGACGTGGGTTACTAATTTATTTAGGTCGTTTCCTTTCTTTTTCTACGAAAGGCGTTTAGTAAAAGTTTTAAGTAGAAACGGTCATGTGAGACGATTTGTAGCGGTGAAACAAGGACAGGTGATAATTTTGATAACGATAAGGCATCGTCGTGCGAGCCGATGAAACACATGATAAATACGTAGCTAGGTGACTAATCGTAAATTCGATGGTGATGTTTATTTTTAAGTAGAAGTGAGATTAGATTGTCCGGTGGTTTATGGAAAAGTATTTGTTGCTGAAATTGTGCAGTAATGTAGTAATTATGTGCAAGTTGTAGGTGGCTTGTTACGTGATTGTCTGATTAGAGGCTAATTTAGCGGGAAAAATGTTGGAAATGCTTACTATACGTGACACACTCCTAATCGATTTACCGTTTGGAACGAATAAATTGATTAGGATGGTGGAGAACGCTAATTAACTCCATTGAATAAAGATATTACGAACGAGTGTTGAAGTTAAGATTAAACATAGTAAGAGTGAAGTGGGAATTTTTGAAAAACGATTTTAGGTATTCTGCCGGAGTTAACTATAATTTTTCCAGTATAGAAAGCGTAATATTTCATTAGGATAATTTTCTGCGATATACATAATAAATTTCTTTTTTGACTATCTTTAATTATCTCGAAACGATTCAATTTCAAAATTTTTTTAAAAATCTCATTTCTTCGCTCATTATTTTTAACCAATAACCGGAATCATTGAGAAAAGAAAAGAAAGGTTAAGGATAAATGTATAATTGCGATAATAGTGCCTGCAGAAAATTATAGTAAGCAAAAGTGCATGGGAAATCGCTAACGAAAAAATGTTTATTAATATTTCTAATTATCCTGAAACCCTTTAATTTCAAACTTCTCCCACAAAATCTCACTTCTTCCCACGTTATTTTTACCCAAAAAAAGGGAATCGTTAAAGAAGGAGAGGAAAGGATAAATGTATCATTGCGACAGTGGTGCTTGCAGAAAATTGTAACAAGCAAAGGTGCGTGGAAAAGTCGCGAACGAAGCGTGTGCATTGATCATTGTCGCCGATCATTCTCGTGAAATTTACCTGATCGACTTCGTGTCACGAAATTCTTGTCATAGCGACGTCATAATTCGCGGCATTCTTCGACACAAGAAAACGCGTCGGAGCGGCACGAAACACGCGGAAACGAAGATCGCGGCTTTGTTGCGTCGGAAAGTGAACATGCGACACGAGAAAGCGTCGCGCGTCGAATGAAGTCGATGCCGAGCGTCGCGACGCCACCTGTGAACTCGTTTCCATAGGATTCACCGGGTCATCCGGACTGGACATTCGGTTCGCGCAGAAAAATAGCAAGTGAAACGCCATATTTTTTTCACTATTTTTCCAGTTATTAGGTCGTTGCACGTGAAACGACACGGAATGATAGAGGAAACTTGTAATAACAAACCACAATAATGCAGGCAAAGTTAAATTTTCAGAATTAAAGTGCATTTCGAATTTTTATAACATCTTTTTAAATTCGTTTCTGTCAATGAATTGCAAGAGAATTTAACCTATTATTATAAAAATCTGAATATTGATAATAAATTCCGACGAAACACATTTTTAATTGTAGCTTTATTGTTGAATTCTATTTTTTTTTTTTTGGTTAAAAAATGTTTAAACGCTTAAGTTAATGTTTTGTTGTCCTTTACTTAGCTGTTTTTATCCTAAATACTGTTTCAATTCACAAAGAAGAATCGCTCGAATTTAATTGGCGTCCATTTTTTATTTTTAATGCAACCCTAACCTAACTTTTTCAGCGAAAGAAGCGCATTTAAAACAGTGAATTGTAGATTTCGCTTTTTCATATGACAATCTACATGATTCTAGTTTATAAAAGCAAGAAGGAATCTTCCAGTATGTAAAATTAGCCATTTCATATGCAACAACCTAATAAATAAAGAATGAGGGTGCAATCTAAATCATGAATACCTGGCTGCTTTCTATGGCTTCTGTTCTCATTGTTCACCTACATTGGTACTGAGAAAATAATACAAGTCCTGCGTTTATATTTACATATGTGCACGAAAGTCCTGGAAATTCGATTGGTTTTAAAGTTTCTAAGATAGAATTTACCAAATGGAAAATCTACAAATTATGGGAAAATCGAGGGAAAAAGTTATTTAACTTAAAGAGAAAAATCAATTTTAATTCGATTTACCGAATTTTTTCAGGCAATTATCAATAATGATACTTTATTTTTGGTGTTTATTCAACTTTTCAATATTTTCTCTGTTAATATGTAACAATGTCTTCTCTGTCTAATATGTTCTCTGTCAAACGTAACAATTTCCTATTTTTAACGACTTAATTACGATAATGATGCGAGTATATTTAAGGGGAGAAGGCAGAAGCTAGAAAAACACCGGAATCCTTGAATCCCCGTTACTTCAAGGCTGGTCACGAGGCCAATCTGTACTTCCTATACAGAGAACCCCCTTTCGAACACAATTACGTCACCATCGAAAACTTGTTAATTAAACGATAATTTTAATGGCCTAAATTGCGTGAACTGTTGCACAGCCAGGAAATCGGCTCGATAAAGATGTTTTGTGCGAATCGAGTGTTACAGTTCGAGGTACACATGTGATGAAACATTGTTCGTCGATATTTCGTATCTCGTTGCAATTATCTTGGGGAAATTTCACGATTATTCATTCATCTCACAGAAATCTAACATTTGACAGCATCCTTGCCTCATTAGAACCAATGATTAATTTGTAACAGACGTTTATGACACGATTGCTCGAAGAAGAGCGAAACAACAGATAGATAAACAAGGGAACGAAATTCCACGTCTTTGAAAGATACCGGGTTTTCCCTAATTTTAAACTACAGGAGCATAATCTACAAGTGTAAACAAGAAAAAAATGTTATATGAAGTTCCGTTGTAAACGCTTTATTACGAAGTTATTGTACAAGCAAATATCGGGTGCAATATACAAGGTGTCCAAATTTTTTCGGATGAAACTTTGTCAGTGTATTCTATAGGTATAAGTAAGAAAAAAATGTTATATACATATAGGTCCTTTAAAGCTTTATTAAAAAGTTACAGCAATATGAAGTAGGAAAGGAATGGTAACGAATGTGCGATTATAATACAAAATAGGAATATATTAACTGCATGCAAGTTGTGTTTACTACTTGAAATCGTTGAAAATGTTGAATCTAACTTTTTCCAGCGCAATTATTGTCTTGTGTCCATGGCAACCACAAATTCGTTACCATTACCTTCCTGTTTCATATTTTTGCTATAATTTTGTAACAAACCTTCAAACAACCTATGTCTATATAACATTTTTCTCTCACACATACCCATAGAACACGCTGGCAAAGTTTGATCCAAAAAAAATTGGGACACCCTGTATATTACAAACTGCGCCCAATATTTGCTTAGAACTTCGTAAATAAACCGTTTACAGCACAGCTTCGTACAACATTTCCTTCTTATTTTCACTTGTAGATTATGCTCCTCTGGTTCATCACGAAAATTAAGAAACACCCTGTACATACATGTGCATTTCTCAAGCTTCTTCTTTTCCAGTTACCATTTCCCTCGCGGGCACAACGAGAATAAAGGCTTGCCGGGTAAGAAGAGAAGAGCTGGACTTTCGTATTAGAAGTTTAAATAGTTAAACGAGCTGCTTCATATTTAAATATATACATATACTTTACGTTCCCTTTATAAATATTTACCGTACACGTTTACCGAATCGTGTCCTCCCCTTAATAGGAAGAATCGAAGGGACGGGACACGTATCTTTTATTCATCGTTACCGTTCCCATTAGTCCTCGAATGGCTGCAGCCTAACGATTATCGACTTTTATATATTCGACGCTGAAGATGCTTCGACCAATTGTTTTGCTCGCTCGCTAGTCGTTTACCTCGTTTACTTATTTAGCAGAGCACCTCGCCAGTAGGAATCGATATACCCGGTGTGGAGCAATGACACATCGATCATGTTGTGTGAATCTTTGTTCGATCGTGCCACAACAAACGAAGAGATATGCAATCTCGTCAAACAGTAGAATCGCCACGCGGCGCGGCACCGCGCCGGGGAAACTCAGGTTTAATCGTTCGACAACGAACTTTCGTTTATTTCTAAAGCGTGGTTGCACAATTCCGCAGCCTTGGTTTTTACTGATTTCGAAAGCGTGTTAACGCGATATACCTGTTTTTCAATGAAAAGTGCAGATATGACGAATATAAGCGATGTGTTTTCCTCTTTTTCGACGTGTGATCGAGGTAAAATTATTTAATAATGAGTAATGTCGTTGGAAATTAATTGTATTGGGTGCTTTGTATTCATTGTGGAGAGATTTTGAAATTAGTACACAAACGTAAGGGAAGGTATTCTTATTTTCCAAGATTTTCTTCTTTTTTTTTTTCAGAGATCCTAAAATTAATTTTAGAAAGAATAATTTCTTTACTTTATTTTTAAAATAAAGCAGTTCAGCTCTGAGTGACTATGTTCCAATTAGCATATGTATGTGTGCGTTCGTTTTCAGGCGAGTAAAGAGTAACGATGAGAAAAGTAAGAAATTGAAACGTCCATTTATATTTTAAATTCAATGATTCGTCACGCTTATTCGTCATCATACTTTCTTTTATTTTCCAATGAAATCATGTTGGATGGATTACGTGCTTACAAACTCCTATCTAACATCTCGCTTCATGAATTTTTCTCTTGCATTACTCGTCAAACATTTTAGATAAGTAACAATGTGGCAAAATAGCACGGTGCAAAAAGAGTGTTCAGTTTTTATTACAGACGCATTTAGCACAGAAAAATTATACAATAATGTGTACAAATTTATGCATTTCTATAAATTTTATTAAATAAGTATTAAAACAGTAGTGCAGACGATGTGACACAAAGAAAAAGAAGAACATCTAGACAGTTACTCTACGAACCATTTTGGTATCCTCTAAGTTACATCATTTTCATCGAAAAAAACTGTTAATAATTAGCTGTTTAAACATTAAACTTCGTTCGCATAACACTGTAAAAGTCGGTAGCCATGACTGAAACGATTCTCACGGTGAAACACGTACGAAAGCTAAGGTGTCTGTTGTTCGACTGGCAACGCGTAATTTTCCACGTGTCCTAGTCAACCACTGCTTTTATTATTCAAGAAGAGTATAGCACAATATCACCTATGCCCCAGTGTCGCAACGAAGAAGCCGATGCAACAAATTCATGCTGACCAGTTGAACATTTTTAACCTTTTCGCAAAGAAGTGGGTCGCATGTGTTCCACTTGAGTACTCAAATGAAAATTGATCTTAATTTCGTGTCTATTGAAGACTCGATGATTGATAGATGAACAAGAGATTCTTAAAAGAAATAATTCTGTTGTGAAAGGGTTAATTCACGATATCATTTAACGCTTATAAATAAAATTCTTTGGAAACGTTTTCTTAAAAAGGAAAGAGATAATTGAAAGATGCAGAATTTTGAATTATCGAAGTATTCGATCGCTAGAGAATTTAAGTATTATTCTAAATGAAATTTTCTTTAAAAAAAAGAAGAAGGGGTAAGTAATTGAAATACAGAGAATTCTGAATTATCAAATTATTGGATCACCAGAGAATTTTACTCGAAACTCTATTTTACCAATATTATCATATCAACTTTGAAACTATCACGGTATTTATTAAAAGTTTTATTAAACGAACACAAATTTCTATTTAACATAGATAAAGTCTCTTGAACTATGAAGAACTTATGTATACACACACTCGTTCCTTCCTTATAATTATAAATTATAAAATTGTTAGCCTGATCGTACGATCCTTTCGTTTCTTACATTTTGCACACCGATGGATGTGTTAAAGCAACTGGTAATCGAAACATACGACGACATTTGTTTCCTTGAGTTTTAAAATATTGACAAACACCTATATTTGTCGCATCAGCGAATACGATATGGTCTTACCAGTTGAAGTAACAGAATCAGTTAGTATTTCAACCTTGCGACACAGAGCTGCAATATCTGATCGTCAGAATGGACAAAGTAACGTCGATTTTATCGTTCATCGTGTTTTTTATTTCATTCGTCTCTGCGAGTGGTAATTGTCAAATTAACAATGTAAATTAAATTAAATTTGACGAAAATTTCAAAATCAAATTTTCCTTGAAATTTTTATTCACACTGTATGTGCTTTTCCAACGTAGCGAATTCATTTTAGAGAGAAGTCTACATAGAACAGACTTGAATTGTAGCGGTCGTGCTTACTATAACGTGACACTGGCTGCATATTACCCTAATTTCGATAGCGATGACGTGTCTGACTACTTGGATGTTAGGATGAAGAAACTGAGGACCTTGCAGGTTCGTTCTTAACCCTTTGACTTACAATTTCTTGTTTGCTGACTACAGATCTGATAGTAAGTATTGATTATTTATTGTTTTAGTAACATATTAGGTAAGAAAAGCTATAATAAAATTTATTATAGATTAATTACAGGGAAAATTACTATTAAAATGAATTTTTTGCAGAATTAATATTAACCTTTTGTAAATTTTATTTTGGCCAGAATCTGTGTCAAAGGTCAGGCTCATTGTTATAACATAAAAGGTTAAATTTACTTCTATTGAACAATAATTAATTCTTATCAAAAGTTAGATTTTTCAGGGAAGAACAAAAGTCACTTTTTTAAATTCAAACAAACTTTCTCTCTCTTGAGAGATCTCTTTAAAAGAGAAAATGTCTCTTTCAGAGAAGAACTTTTCTGCATTGAATTTAAGCGATCTCGACTCACGAATGATTCGAAATCCTCTTAATATTACACGAAACAATGTTTCTTCTATGTCACTTCTATATTACTATGGAAAGAATATACATATATTATACAAGGACATTATGTATATTTCACTAGGATTTTCTTGACGGACGCGGTGAATTCGTGACCGTTTCCATGGACCTCGATGGAGGAATACCATATGGCACAAAATTATGCATACCTCAGCTGAACGAAAAATTTCAACGACAGATTCCACTTCAGGTATAATTTACCATTCAATATTACATCCTCGTTATTATACAGTAGAAACAGACATATACATTCGTGTAAAAAGAAAACATATAGGTGACTTTGAAAAAAAAAGAAACAGAAAAATGATATTTACAAAAAAGTATTTCTTCATCTTATTTAATATTATAATTTACATGATATTAAATGAATTAATAATTACGTATTAATATTTTTCAGGCTAGAGACAGAAGCCACTACGACGATGTTAAAACGAGTTCGCCCGATTTTTCTCACCTGGATATCTGCGTGAGAACCGAAGAAGATACTTACGATAATTCAGTAAATGGTATTGTGACGCTTTATGTATAATTACATAAAAATTCTAAAATTATTCGTAATTATTTTCCTTTATTTTATAAAAAATAAACACAGCTAATAATAACTATATTGTGGAAAATAAATTTCATAGCGATAGTTTGCCATTGATCGTCAGATCGATGACCATTTAGGCCAAGTTTGAATCAGCTGGTAAAGGCTATCTCCTGGACAGGAAGTTTGTGTTGTTTGTCGATGGCCAAGCAGCTTGTAATTTTCTTGAATTTTTCCAATCGCCACACCGTACTTTATCAAGTCTTGAACTGCTTTTATGGCTGCTGCATTAGGATTGTGACCTGTGTGCGTTTCGATAGAAAAAATCGTTTAATTTTCAGAATTGTTGAAATAAAATGTAACGGAAAATTATTATATTGTAAAGTTTAATTTATTTTGTAGGTCCTAGGTTTATTATATTATACAATTTTCTAAAGGGAAAATTAATTTTGTCTCGTATTGTGAAAGATTCGTAAGTGTTACTTTTCAAGTAATTCGGTGATTGTTTATACCGTTCAATTTTACACTTCCTTAGGCGACTTCACTTTTCATCATAAATTGAAGAATACATAGAAAAGAGGACGAGACTTTATTTTTTATCTATTGCAATATTTCAATACACGTGAATATATTTTTTATTATAAAATTCATTTTTGTATTCAGAAATGGAAAAAGAGATGAACGTGTGTCATACAGTGTCTTTGTGTGACTGTGAAGTAAGAATTAATTAATTCAATGTTTAAAATTCATTTTACTCAAAATAACAATTAAGTGGACATTAATCCCTTTCCTCCTGCACTCTTCATATGATTTAAACTGGTTGTCTTATAAAATACACTTCGTGTCATTGAAAATAGTGACAAACTTACCAACAAAATTGCCGATCATGCAAATTCCAATGCTCTTCGAGTTGTAAGGTATCGAATGTGAACCGTGCTTGCCCCACCCTCTTCCTTCATAAATGTTTCCGTCCTCTCCAACCAAAAATTGGTAGCCTATGTCCTCCCAATTCTTTTGATTCATGTGATAATTCTAGATACAATAGCAGAAACAATAAAATAAAATATTTTCCAAATTACACTTTTCAAATTTTAAACAAACTATTCAAAAATTATCCCGATTTTGTGTATCTCCTCTTACACTTTTGTTTAATACTTAAAAAGAAAACGTCGAAGGAATTTTTCACTCTTATTTAAAAAAAATGATAATATAATATGTATAGGAGAGAAATTTTGAATTTTAAGTTCAAGTTTCACATTCGATAAGCAAAGCAGAATCGTTCACTGTATCAATCACCTGAAAATTTCTCACTCTAGCCTGACAAATTGCCTGAGTTGTGCAACCATCAGACGCTGAATGATGAATTACAACAAATGGCGGTGGATCCGTTCGAAGATTTCGCAGGGTTCCTTTCGGTGGCCTGGCTCCCCAATCTGCCCTCGATATTATATTTGGCCGGACTAAATGATATTGAAATAATCGACAAATTATTCTTTTCCTAAATAGATGTTCTTCTTTTTCTTTAATCATGAGAACGTTGTATGCACGAGTGTCGAATAAAGTTCGCGGAATACATATTCGACTTGAAGTAGAAAAATAAAACAACTGTATCGTCTTGTCGGAGATTTTGGACTAATTAGAGAAAATTAAATTACACTCGAAATTTATAAGTAACTACAGCTTTTCTTAATAAAATTTTTAAATTATATATCCTATCGATAATAACGAAAAAAAAAAAATCGGAGAAATAATATTGTATGAAATTTTCCCCTGACAAAAGTGTTAATTTTCGAAATCACATCAGTGATAAGGAAGAAAAAATTTCAAACAGAAGAAATGCAGTAATTTAGGAGAGAAAAAATTGAACGAAATCAAAATGCCATAAAATGGTAAATAAAACTTGAAAAAGGTATACTAGCGAATCAACTGTTCGCTGTTTCTTTTTCACTCTTAATTTAGCAGCTGAAAGAAATATTTTACAACTGCTAGAACGTTTTTTAACACGTCTCTTTTATTATTCAATGCTAAACATGAACGTGTCAACGTGAAATAATTATTTCCCCGGATCTCTCTTATAATTCATGGCCGTGGGGAATCATTTTCTGTGAAATTATATTCCCGTGAACGTCTTACACATAGGTGAACAGTGTCATCGTACTAGCGTAACAATAATTATCACGTTTGCTTCGAAAAGTTGCCATTCATATCACCGAATCGATTATTCCGGGAATCCCATGCGAACTCAGGCGTAATTAAAATGCTTTGAACCGAGAGATATCGGCTAAACGATAATAACCTGACCACAAATAAACACTTTTGACGTTACGTGTCGAAGCTGGGCTCTTTCCTCAAATATTCCGTAAAAATTCAAGTGTGTTAAATACTAATTGTTTCTGTCGTTTCACTTTCTCTTTTTCCAATAATAGGATTATGTTTTGAGGAAACTTAATTAGGGAATTTTATTTATTAGACTAGAATTAGAATTTGTCTACTTCGTTTGTTTTCTTTTTTCTCATATTTTCACTTCAAAACTATCGTTAGATTAAAGAAATTCGTTTCGAATTTGGAATAAACAACTTTTGGAATTTTTGTTTTAGTAAAATTAATAAAAGGAGATACACACGTTATTTTTACTGTAACAGTTATTTATGCAATAGTGTGACTCGTGTTAATATTAATGTCAGAAAAATTTAACGATAGTATTTCAGTATCAATCACTCTAAAATACACAACTTTCAGAATTTTAATTAATAAAATAACTATTTTTACTATATTTTAATCCTAGCATTCCAAAGTAAACCTGATCAATCTTCGACCACATTTCACTCTCACCCTTGCTCCATAAAAATTCCCCAAAATTCCAGCACATTTGAGAAAAGAGCCGAAAACAGCGAAGAGAAGAGAACAAATAAAAATAATGCTTTACAACAATCGTTTTCCATAGAATCTACTTTCAACATCCACCGTAATCGAACTTCTCGAATAGTTCAAAGAGCACCGACACTTGCACTGTTTTTTCTACGACGCACGGGCACGTATCTATCTTCTAAAGCGTAATTTTCAAGGAACGATTTATTACGAGGTGTCTCGTGTACAGCACAAAGCAACACTTGACAGCTTGAGAGTAGTAGAAGGCCGGCTATTAACTTCGCCATTTTCATTCACCAGAATGTACTGACATTGAGGCATGTAAATTCGACAAATATATAAGACACGCGTGTACGGTCGGGTGTCAACAATTCTTGATCTTCGGCCTCTGGAGCAAGATAGAATAAAGTGATGGGAGGGGAGTACTGTGATGAACGTTTAAATCTCGATCGACATTCATCTGCATCAGCTTCGAATTGAAACGTCAATGCCCAATTAAAGTGATTCCCTTGTGGATGTTAACGAATGCTTCAAATAGACGTTACAGACGGATACAGCTGTAACAGTTTTTATAATAGGTCTTATATTTTCTCAGGAGAATACTTATTTACCAGGATTTATTTTCTTTTCATTCTCAGAGGAAACGTTTAAAGTTTCAACGAGGATGTTAACTCGCATGATTTCATGGCAATGAATTCGTTTATTTCACTTCCTTGTTTTTGTTTAGGTATATAGAAAAATATAAGGAAGTGAGAAATGTATAATTTAATGCTAATTATTTATTGCTTAAGATTTTTTGTGGGTTTGCACTGTGTTACAAAATTCTTTTTTTTTTTTCAAGTATGCTGGTACATTTTTAGAAGTTTATTTTCTTTTCTCTATGCACATCTTCTTGATTAGGTATATTTATTTCTGTGATATAAAGTAATCGTAAAATAAGTGTGAGATTTAATACTAATTGTTTATTGCTTAAGATTTGTACAATATTACAAATTTTTTTTTAAGTATGCTATTATATTTTCAGAAGTTTATTTTTTTTTTTTTTTTAGTTATCTCTGTAGTACAAAATAACCGTAAAATAAATGCAAGATTTAATAGTAACTGTTTATTGCTTAATATTTGTAGATTTGTACAATATTACAACATTTTCTTTTTTTAAGTATGCTATTATATTTTCTGAAGTTTATTTCTTTTTCTATACACATCTTCTCCATTATATTTATCTCTGTAGTATGAAATAATCATAAAATAAGTGTGAGATTTAATACTAATTGTTTATTGCTTAAAATTGGTAGATTTGTACTGTATTACAAAATTTTTCCTTTCTTTCCTAAGTATGCTATCATATTATTTTTAGAAGGTTTTCTTTTGTACACGCATCTTCACGATTATATTTATCTCTGTAGTAT